ATATAATGTGTAAAGTTTAGTATACTCTAATCCCTTATAGTTATGGCATAGACGAGACACGCATTTTGCATGTAATGCTGTTTGAATACAAGAAGAGAAACAACGCCTCTGTAGCCACAAAGAATATCAAAGAAGTTTATGGAAATGTTTTGAGCGTTCGTAAGTGTCAGGCGATGGTTCAGCAAATTTCGTTCAGGTGACTTTAGCCTTAAAAACTGTCATGGCAGGGGCTGACATGTTGGAATTAATATTGATGCTCTGAAGACGCTTGTTGAGTCTAACTCAAGGCAACATACTTGTGAAATGGCCCTGAAATTGCATGTCTCCCATGAGACAATACGTAAACATCTAAAAAATATGGAAAAACTCCATAAAGAAGATGTTTGGGTGCCTCACGAACTCTCCGATGATCATCGTTTCCAACGTGTGAACGTTGCTTCGTCTCTTCTGACGCGTAATGCCACGTGAACCATTTTTGGACAGAATTTTCACCGATGATGAAAAATGGATTCTCTATGCAAATATTAAACGCCAAAAACAATGGCTTAGTCCTAGACAAAAACCACTTCCTACCCCCAAAACCTGGACTCCATCCGCAGAAAGTGATGCTTTGCATTTGGTGGAATCCACAGCGAACTGCCAATGCAGAAATCTATAATCAGCAACTTGAACGTTTAAATCAAGTCCTTCATTAGAAACGCCCTTCACTCGTCAATCGGAAAGGTGTTCTTCTCCACGACATTGCACGTCCACATGTGGCACGTTTGACGCAATACAAGATTATGGAGTTGGGTTGGGAAGTTCTCCCCCACCCACCATATTCTCCAGAAATGGCACCATCAGATTACCATCTTTTTCGTTCGCTGTAACACCATCTTAATGGAAAAACATGTGGAAATGTGAAAGGTGTTAAAGCGGACATCGACATGTTTTTTTTTGCTTCAAAGCCAAGTGATTTCTTTAATCAGGGCGTTAAGAACCTGATTGTAAGGCAGTTACTATTCATATTTAGATACAACCATAACATAGAAATAAACCACTCTAAGTTTACTGTTGTAAAACTCTCAATCTCTACCTTTTTAAAAAGATGTATAATAAGACAAGTTGTCCCAACAAATAAGCATACACATACACACACACACACACACACACACACACACACACACACACACACACACACAGTGAAAGAGATAATCCATTTTTCTTTATTTCTAATTTTTAAGTTATTAATTTTTTTAAATTAAATTTCTCTTCAAAATTGGCTGTTTTGTCGGAATATACATGAAACGGATAATTTATATTTCATTACTAATGGGTATTTTAATTGTAAAAAATTCACCAATATGTTGCTTATTTTCATATTAATCTTTTTTTTTTTCCATGAATGATAAATCGTGTTATTAACCATAAGTACCTCAGTTTAGTTTCTTAAATGCAATTAGATTTTTTTTCAGGACATTGAGATAATTAATCACACATGAGTATTTTCATATAATTGCAAATTGATAGTTCGAAGGATAATTTTAGTGTTGATTTTGTTTTAATTACATAATATATATTTGACTTTTCTAATTTTGAAACTTGTTATTACATTGCTTTAATAACAAAGTGCACTGAAGTTACGCTCATAACAAAATTGGCTTAAGTTAAAAATAATCCTAGTAACCTTGGTTCAAAGTTTCTTTCTGATTATAAATTGTTATTATTATTATTTAGACTATTAGTTAAAGGCTAGATAATTTGTATAATTACTAAGCATGAGATGGAATATGAATGTGACGCTAAACTTTAAATCGATGTTTGTTTTAGAACTTTTGCATGAGATACACAATGTTTATCTGCACATTTTGCATGAGATACACAAGGTTTATCTGCACATTTTGCGTGAGATACAAAAAAGTTTATCTGCACACAACTAAAATGTACCTGTCTTTAGTGATGTGAAAAGTTTAAGTTGATGAACCAATTTAAATTATTTCATGGACTTTAAAAATGTTAATTGTGTTGCACTTTTGGTTTCACACAGAGCCAAAGCTCTAAGCTACTTACACTGCCCACTGCGAAAAGTAAATGTTGAGCATTTCGGCCGTGCTAAAAGTCGCCCAACAATAACATAGAGTAAAACCACATTTTTTACTTATTAGTTGTGAAGTAAAATTTGACATCAACATTATTCATGGTTGTTCTCCAGTCATTTCAAAAGTGAATGTTGAATTTTGCCTACGTGTGCAGCTTTTTAAAAGCAAAGCTGGAAGCGGCCTCCGTAAACGGGAGACAGACAAACGTACGGACAGTCACCACGGTTCGCAATATATATATATATACAAGATGGCTATCTCTTGACTCTATGGGAAGGCATCTAGTTCAACAGCGCCCAACATCAGTTAACTCCTGAGCTTATTTTGTCTGACCGTATAGTAGGATTTGACCGTCACTTTTACCGCGCATCCACGGTACCAAAGCGCAGAATGTGTTTTTGTGGGATGTGAACCATGAGCCCTTTGATTCATAGACAGGGCACGATAAAAACTAACATTCTCGGCCCACTTCATATTCGACAAATAGATATGTTTTGAATTGGATCTACTACTGCGCATACAATCAAAAAAACAAAATCTAGAGTTGATTGTATAGTAACAATATTTGAATCTGTATACTTTCAAATGAAGCTGATCTATTCCAAGAAAACGCACACAAAAATGTGAAATCTAGACGTTTTAATGAGTGGGCATTTAAAAATAACAAAAAGAATTAATAATTAAAATACGATATTTTTTAAATTTGATTAATAACACGTTTTCAAGCTCTTTTATGTCAACATTACTTGTTTCCCACATAAATTAGGAATTATTTGTTTGTTTTGAATTTCGCGCAAACCTACACGAGGGCTATCTGTGCAAGCCGTCCATAATTTAGCAGTGTAAGACTACAGGAAAGGCAGTTAGTCATCACCACCCACCGCTAACTCTTGGGCTACTCTATTACTAACAAATAATGGGATTGACCGCCACATTATAACATCCCCACGGCTGAAAGGGTGAGCATGTTTGGTGGGACGGGGATTCGAACCCGCGACCCTTAGACTGCGAGTCGAGCCACTCTAAATTAAGAACAACAAGAGTTCTTAAAGGATTTCGAAAGCTGGTTGTTAAATTAGAAACTCATTATAAAGTTATAAATATTTTTTCTCTCCCAGCCAGAGTTGGGTATTTCGAATTGATA